CGGACCAGCTGCGGCCCGCCCCTTACCCGCGGAGGCCAGCGAGGACCGGGCGGGGCTGCCACTCACTCACCTGGTTGGTGACCTGAAACGGAAGCAGAAAAAACAATTCAGGGAAGGACCTTTCTCGCACCAGAGGCCCGCCTCCCCGGCAGCCTCTAGCCCAGGGCTTACCTTGGCCTTAGCATCCAGGGCCGGCTCGTTAGACCCCTCCATGGCAAATGTCCAGGGCTCTGCACCACCGACTCAGGTGCACGCTCCCCGAGCTACCACCACTTCCGCTTCCTCTTCCCAGCCCGGTGGCCTGGCGCACGCATCGGGCGTGGGGGAGCAGCAAACCAACATTTTTGGGTAACTCACCCATATGATCAATTAAATACTAATTTTAAGGAATCTACTCAGAGAAAAATTAACTACTCTAGGAATATTGTTCCCAGTATGTAGGCTATACCATGCTATGGGAGAACCTAGAACGTTAGGGTGCCGTCTCCCCCTACTAACGCTGTAGGTGTGGACTCTTCCTATGGGGGGCACAGCTCCCTCTGCGCAGGCGCAAGCTAGTGGCTTGGGCAAGTAATTGATCCCAATCAAATTGGCCAGCGGCGAGAAAGCCGCACCCCCTTCCCCACAGAAGTTCGTTTTACGAGGGAGAAGTTGTGGGAACTATAATTAACAAGCAGCTTTCGTCACTCGGGTTTCCTTCCCAGGGCTCGCGGGGGGGTGGGGGATGCTTTATCCCCGCTGCCATCCTGACCGCAGCAATAGCGCCCCGTCTGGGCGTCCCGCTTCCCTCCTACTCATCGCAAATCCACTCTATACCCAAAGAGATTTTTTTCCCCGCCTACTTTTTATTTTGAAAAACTTGATTTTTTTTCCAGAAAAGTTGCAAATAGTTCAATACACGTACGTATATGCTCCATCTAGATTCACCCACTCAACATTTTTACACATTTGCTTTAGCCCTAGTTTCATACATAGTAACGATGACATTCTCCCTAAGTCCTTGAGCTTGTATCTCCCAAGAACAAGGGCGTTCTCCCGAAAAATCACAATCATCACACTCGGGAAATTTAAAACTGATAAAATACTATTATCTACCACACGGGCCAAATGCAAGTTTCCTCAGTTGTCTCAACAATATTCTGGAAAACTGTTCCGCACGGTACCCAGCAACGTAACGAAGGGCCACCGGGTGCATTTGGTTATGGTGTCTCCTTAGTCCCCTCTAATCTAGAACTGCCCTGGTCAAGTGGCAGGACTGCCTGGGCTCCCCCTGGAGGCTCCAGGGGAGAAACTGAGGTTTGGGCCGAACTCAGTTTTACGCAGCTGCCATTTCCTTGCTGGCTTTGGAC